TTTTCTATTTAAATAACAGCTTTGGAGGTGTGAGTGATCAGAACTAAGACTATGCCAAATTATGAAACCTCCCTGTTTCCTTCATTGCAGCCTTGACACAAATCTTTCCTGAAGCTGTTATTTATAATAAGAGGAAGGATTATTTTTGCACTAATCACACAGGATTCTGGCAAGGCAATCTCTCAAATTCATAGAACGAGATAAAGAGATAAAGATAAAGAGATTTTAAAGCCAACATCCATCCATCTCACCAGAATTTGGGTCCTTCTGATGTATTCCATCAGGGTTCCCATTTAAGAAAAAAACTTCAGCCTCAGGGCCAAGTTATGCCATATGCTGTTTACATGGTTTGAGAAGTCCACAGTCTGAGGTCTTAGGGCCATGTGCCCACACCCTTTCCTCTGGAAAGTTTAGGGGTTGTTCACGGAGCTCTTACAAAACTTATCATTAACTGTAATCCTCAATGTAACTGAAGAAGAAGATAGCCACAGGAAATCAGCAAAGGTAATTACATTTAAATGAACTTACAATTACAGCAAAGAAATCAACTCTAATTTGTATTCTGATCCCTCTCGCTTTCTTTTCACAATCCCACCTACTTTTACAAGGGTCATTCTTGGTACAGGACCCAAAGGTCAAGTGTGAAACTCAGTTTAAAAAGGGTTACACACATACTCCTGGTCCATTTGGTAATTTCTTATGGCAGACTTCCCCCATCTGAATGATGACCCATTCAGATATGTTGAGATTGAACCTCCAGAATTCCTATTTCTGTAAGCTTGTTAGAGGAGAGTGCTTTAAGGATGCTTTCCCAGATATGCAGTTTTACAAATTTCATCCCAAGTGGTAAAAAGAAGGAAGGAAGGAAGGAAGGAAGGAAGGAGGGAGGGAGGGAGGGAGGGAAGGAAGGAAGGAAGGAAGGAAGGAAGGAAGGAAGGAAGGAAGGAAGGAAGGAAAGGGAAGGGAAGGGAAGGGAAGGGAAGGGAAGGGAAGGGAAAGGAAGGAGTGAGTGAGTGAGTGAATGAGTGAGTGAGTGAGTGAGTGAGGAAGGAAGGAAGGAAGGAGGGAGGGAGGGAAAGGAAGGAAGGAGGGAAGGGAAGGGAAGGAAGGCAGTGAGGGACTTATTTCCTGCTGAAAACCTTCACTTCTATGCCTTCAGTTTTACTCTCAACCCAAGTCCAAGTCCAAATTGCAGTCCATATCAGAAATATTTAAGGTCATGCCTAAACTCAGATTTATGAATAGGGAAGGAGAAAGGTCTCCAACTTCTTTTTTTAATGTATATTTTGGTGCTTTTCAGTCATTGTTCACTTCTGGTGAGTGCCTAGATAAGTCCTTGCATTTTTCTTGCCAAGATTTCAGAAGTGACTTGCCATTGCTTCCTTCTTGGGGCTAAGAGAGAGAGGAAATGACCCAAGATAAACCATCTGGCTTTATGTTTAAGGCAGAACTAAAACACATGGTCTCCCAGTTTCTAGCCTGATGCCTTAAGTACTGCACCAAACTGGCTCTCTCACTGAGTTAAAAGTATATAAATGGGTGCACCCCTATCCTGTTCTGTATTAGAATTAAAGGAAGTGTAGCTATACACCATAATTATTTTGATCAAACTGATATTTTACAGGTAACCCACTATTTATGACATTTGTTTAATGACAGTTCAAAGTTATGACAGCCTCAGAAAAAGAAACTTACCACCTGTCCTTGAAGTTATGACTGAAGCACCACTCTTGTGGTCACATGATTGCAATTTGGATGTTTGGCAACAAGCTCATATTTATGATGGCTGAGGCAGCTTGTGCTCACGTGATCACAAGTTGAGATCTTCACTGCCAGTTTTCAACAAAGTCAATTGGGGAAGCTAGATTCATTTAACTACTATATGATTCACTTAACAACCACATGACTTGCTTAATGACCATAGTGAAGTACATAATTACCTCAGTAAAAATGGTCATAACATCACATCTGGTCACATGATGAGTCATTTAACATCCACATTGCTTAGTGACCAAAATTCTGGTCCCAATTCTGGTCATAATTCAAGGGCTGTCTGATTAAATCTCAATCTCTTTACTGTTTTCCTGTGAAAGAGGTCTTAACTTTCAAAATAGGTTATAAAAATATGTCCTTATTGAGAAAAAAAATGAAAAAAAGTATTTCCCCCTCTTTAATACCTTCTTTCATAGAGGATGAATCAGTGGTGGGTTGTCCCCGGTTCGGACCGGTTCGGAAGAACCGGTAGTAAAACCGACAGATGGCTCTGCCCACTGCCCCAGATGTTGTCATCAGCGATCTGCGCATGCACAGAAGCTTCTGCGCAGAAGCAAGGTGTGCATGTGCGCGATCCTGTTGTGAACCGGTAGTAAAGATAAGAACTTACCCCTGGGATGAATGTAATGTGAATGGCCTTTGAATCTCAGTCTGCGATTACACTCCAAAATTATAGGTTTACCAAAATAGAAAAAGTCAAAAATAGATGTAATTTAAATAAAAAATTGACAATAGGTTTCTCCTCCTGCATATTTAAACACTTTCTGGTTCTGACACATTCATAAATTACAATTAGGTTTTGATTTTTGGAAGGACTTTGAGGCTCACACCCAAGGATTTTGTGGCCTTTTATTTTGTAACCCAGGCTGAGAATGGGAGAAGCTCTGTTTTATCGTCCTTTGGGGTGGAGGCCATATTGATGGCCACCAGGCTTTTTCTCTCCCTGGAGACAGAAAAAATCATGATAGCAGCTATGATCATGTTATGAAATTGATCCCATTCAAATTGCACAGATTCACAGCCACATCTTGACTTTTTTTGATCCTGCCCTGCAGACACCTCTGAATGTAACAAAGACACAGCAGAAAGCGAACAGGCTCCCAGTTGTCTCCCCAACTACACAAGCCATTGCGTGAACCCTTCACAGTTATCCATCCTTGTGTTACATTCTAAAAAGGTCTTCCCTTAACAAATGGCTCATTTAACAACAGGAATTTTGGGCTCGATTATGGTTGTAAGCAGAGGACTACCTGTAGATTATCATGGAGACGTTTAGGGAAATGCAACAGCATTTGGTCCTGCTGGGAAATGTTAAAAAGTTTCTATTTTGATATGTTATTTCCCACCCACCCCCCAATCATTTTTTTATACAACAGTTGGGAAACACCTCAAATGGATTAACTGACTTCTTGGGAACGTGTTTGGAAAAAGTCATTTTATGCAAGTTTTTTCTATCAACCTTTGTTTCCAAACTTATGAGTCAAACAACAAACTGATGTGGTCGTAAGGCAAAACTCTCAGCAGGCCTTCCTCCACCTGCTGTTTCCAGATGTGTTGGGCTGGAGCATTATGAAAGCTGACATCCCACACATTTGGAGGACAACACAGAAGCTCACTTCGGGGAAGTTGTCTGAAGGCTGAGCCTATGGAACTCTATCCTTCCCTACATTTAGTGAGAGGGAGAGGGAGACGGAGAGGGAGGGAGGGAGGGAAAGAGAGAGAATGAAGAGCATTGGGAAAACCTGATCAATTGCTATAAAATTTAGGAAGGATTGCTGAAGCTCCTTCCTCATTTACTACCAAGATTTGAGACTGCAGATGGTGGAACGGCAAACTTTAGCCATAAAGTGCTTGAGAAGCAGTCATTAAATAATTCCAAAGGCTACAGTTAGGGTTGCAATGAGATAAAAGAAATGGACAAATGAAAAATATCCAGGTTTCTATATTTAAGAATAAACTATATGACATGCTACCGTGTTTCCCCAAAAATAAGACCCTGTCTTATATTTTTTTGAACCCTGAAATAAGCGCCTGGCCTTATTGCCATGCACTCAAAAGCCCAATTGGGCCTATTATCAGAGGATGTCTTATTTTGGGGGAAACAGGGTATATCTCAGATATTTGGATATGATTTATAGTTTAGTTTATGACAATACTCAAAGACCTAGAAACTAGTTATCTCTCTTAAATTAAAGTTAAAACTTAAGAGCAAGGTTTTTTTTGCAAGAAAGTAATGGTTCTTTATAAGAGATTATCCTTAAACAATCTCTTTAAAAGGCATTTTTTTTTGACAACTGAGAGTAGTGTTAATCAGATTCTTAGAAAATCTTTCTAGATATTGCTAGAGTCAGAGCCAGAAAATCTGCCACATCAAGCAGCTTCATACTAATGTATTGCATGGGTGAATGTATCTCTGATGTGGGACTACGTGGTACCACTTATAGGATATGCACAAATGCAATAAAAATGGATTTTTAGGAACCACTGGCTTTTTTCTGAGAATTGGAGGTGCACACCTTTGCCTCTGCTTTGGGGCATACCATACTGTAGGAAATAGCTTGTGGGAAGACAGCCATTATTTCTGCCCAGTCTTGCCTCCAGCAACTGTTGTTCCTCAATGGTCTGGCCTGGCCATAAATGTTTTAGAGTAAAAACTCAGCTTTTTCCCTGAACAAGAGCTAGTTTTTCACTTTGCATGCTTAACTTTCTTGTCTCCTTTTGCAGATACCTGCCAGTACCTGTTCCAACATCTCTTGCCTGCTGGCTTTCTTCCATACCTCCATTTATTGGCCTTGTTGAATTTAACCAAGGCTATCAGATCTAGGCTGCAAATCCCTGGAAGACCTCTGGGTGGCAGCAAATAGAATCAGCTCTCTATTGTAGTACAGCACTGCTATTTCCAGTTTTAATTCTGACAGTAAAACAGCCAGGAAGCAAAAGTATATTTTCTTTCTTGTGTTTATCCAGACATACTTTCAAAAACTAAGGCATATGAGAAAGGAAAAAAATATCCTTCAGAAATACATTACCATGAAGAAAATCTGATCAATATACTACATATTCCCATACAGTATGTAAAGTAGTTCCTGGAGTAAGAGATCTACTGAGTTCAGGTGAACTTATACGTGAAAACATTGAGGATTGTGCTGTACTGTAAAAGAGCTAAACTGCACAGCACAAGTTTATTCTGATTTTGTCAGTCACATGACAACCTTATTATTTTGTAGAAGAGATGGAGCTGGACATCTAGAAATGCTTTGACGTATGCTAACCTGGGAGCAGTGGTGAAATTCAGCCGGTTCTATCCGGATCAGCCCAGACGTCGTCACATCCTGTTTTTGACCCTCTGTGGAAGCACAGAAGGCTCTGCGCATGCGTGGAGGAGGCACGCGTGCTCACATTTGCGAAGGTAAGTGAATACCACGCCTGCCTGGGAGCAGTCAAGACTGAATCAGTCTCTGGAATTGGACAGTGAGAAAAATGTTATAAGCTGGATCTAGCCCAATAACTCAGAGACAGACTCCAATTCTTTTCTGTAGCTTTATTATTGATCTGTTGGTACTGGAGGTCACTGACCTTGTACCTTTCTCTTTCAGGTATACATCTGGAATCATCTGTGGACCATGTTTGGACCTTTTGTACCCAGGAGGAGGGGCTAAGAGGTAAGGAGTGGTTATAAGGATTATGGGATATGTGGTTAGTTAACCCTTGAAGGTCCGGTGATCAGAGATATAGTAGTTAGGCATTTATCATGACAAAACCCCCTCTAAATGCCTAACTGGGTACCTGGGGCGGTGTTTGCATACATACAGAGAATACACAGGTACAGGCATGAATTACAAGCAAACACGCATCTTTGACATGAGGTAAGCATGTTGTTTATGTGGTAGGGGTTTAGTGAGAATATCTGCTGTTTGCTCCTCTGTGTCACAGTGTACTGCCCTAATGAACCTATCTCTGAAAACTGCCTGACGTGTTTGTATTTAATGTCAATGTGCCTAGAACGCTGACCTATGGCATCGGCCCTAGAGATCTCTATTGCTGCCTTGTTGTCTTCGTGGATAACTATTGGATATGAGGGTTCAGCCCAGATGTCGCAGAGCAGGTCATCGAACCATACTAAATTGTTTGCGGCCTTTGATAGGCAAACAAATTCTGCTTCCGTAGTTGATGTGGCCACCAGTTTTTGCTTTCCAGTGTACCAATGGATGGGGCAATTGTTGAGTAGTAGCACGTAGCCTGAGGTGCTTTTTCTGCACTCTACGTCCCCTGCCCAGTCGGCGTCAGCATAGCAGGTTAGCTTTGGTTCCTTGGATGTTTCTGGTTCTAGGCAGAGTAGGGCATCCGCACTGAATTTTAAGTATCTAAGTAGTCTTTTGATGGCGTTCCAGTGTGTTACCATGGGTTTGCTTACATGCCTGGACAGCAGATTGACGGCTAAGGCGATGTCGGGCTGGTCCAGTTGGATATGTACAGCAGTGACCCTATCGTTGATTATACAATATACATTGTCTGTGAATTTGTCTGTGAGTTTCATGTTCTGTCTTCAGGACCTCTCGGGTTGCATGGGGGTCTCGCTGGGTTTTGCTTCGGACATGTTGCATTTGGACAGCAGCTCGATGATCTTTTCTCTCTGGGAGAGGCGGAAGCCCTTGTTGGTTTTTATCACTTGGACCCCTAGGTATCTGTCAATCTTTCCAAGTGACTTTAAGGAGAAGTGGCTACCCAGGTCAGTGGCGAACTTGTCACACCTGTTCTTGTGTTTGCTGATGTACAAGATGTCGTCCACGTAAACGAGCACACCTTCGAATGTTGTTTTTTCTCTCCTCGTAAAAAAGCATTTGTCGGCTGAGGTGGCCTCGAAGCCCATGGATCTGAGGGCCTTGCCAAGCAGTCATACCACCTTTTGCCCGACTGCTTGAGCCCGTACAGGCTTTTATTCAGCAGCCAGGTTTGGTTCTCGCCTTTGTTGTACCCAGGCGGCGCTTTGACGTATATTTCTTTATCCAGCTCGGCGTGCAAGTACGCTGTTTGTACGTCGAATTGGAAGACCTCCAAGCCCAGGATGGTGGCCACCACCAGGGCGCTTTTGACGCTCTCCGCCCTGACGGTTGGCGAGTAGGTGTCTGTATAGTCTTCGGGGTATCTTTGGGCGAAACCCTGCGCGACTAGTCTTGCCTTGTATAGGACCTTGTTGTCCTCTAATGTCTTAACCCTGAACACCCTTTTTTGTCCTCTGGAACTTGGGCAGGTGAGTATACCTGGAGGTTCCTTAGGCTTTCCATCTCCTTCTCCATGGCAAGCATCCATTTTTCTTTCTCTTCCGGGGGAGCCCGAGGATGTCTTCATATGAGCTGGGTGTGAAATGGGTGTTGTGGATGGTCATAACGTAGTCCTTTAACTTCTTTGGTAGCTTGTTTCTGGTTTCTCTGATTGGCCTGCTGGGGGTTGGCTCGGTTTCCTGCATGTTGTCTGCCTCTTTGTCCGTCAGGTCATCTATCTTCAGTGAAGGGTGCCCTTCTTTCCAACCTTTGACGCTTGCCTTGCGATGGTTGGCTTTGTGCCCTGTGACCTCTCTGACCTCCCTTTCCCCTTGGCCATGCTCGAACGTGACCCTATTGGCTGGGATGTCATTGGAGTGTACCCTCGACCAGTTTGCGTTTTCGTGGAAACTGGCTGATCTGGAAACCACAAAACGGTTATTGTTGTCGACAAATCTGTAGCCCTTTGTGCCCGGTTCGTAACCCACGAACCTCAACCTTTTTGATAATTTCTCCCCTTTTCTTCTTAGCTGTCTGGGAATGTGAACATCAGCTGGGGCGCCGAATATGTGTAAGTGTGCAATGTTGGGCTTTCTGTTGTATAGCATCTCGTATGGTGTCTTATTGATAGAGCTTGACCACAGTCTATTCAGGGTGTAATTAGCGTAGTGTAATGCCTCTGACCAGAAATGCTGCCCCATCCCAGCATCCTCCAGGGCGCATCTCATCATGGTTTGCAACACCCCGTTTTTTCTCTCTGAGACTCCATTTTGAAAGGGGGAGAAAGGTGAAGAGGTGTAATGCGCTATGCCCTGCTCCCTCAGCCACCTTGTGAATTCTTTGGCCATGAATTCTGAGCCCCTATCAGTCATTATCTGCCTTATTCTCATGTTATGTTGCATATCTACTCTTCTGTGGAATTCCTTAAACCTTTGGAACACTTCGTTTTTGTGTCTGAGGGAGTAGACATACCCGTATCTGGTGTAGTCATCCACAATCGTGAGGAAGAATCGCTTCCTATGTCCTACAGAGGGTTTCATTGGCCCTACCAAGTCCATATGCACCAATTGGAAGGGTATTCCGTGGTTCGTTTGGATCCCCTGGGGATGGCTTTAACCTTGATCTTAGAACGCTTACAAACTGAACACTCTAAGTAGTTTTCGCAGTTCTTTACTTTGAGACCTTCGGTACATTCCGTCATTTTCTTTACAATGGGGAAGCTTATGTGTCCCAGTCTCCTGTGGAGGAGGTGGGCGCAGTTATCATGCAATGGCTTGCCGATAGATACAGACTTTTTGTCTTCTCATGGCTACATCCTGCCTCCTGCTGCACCCCCTCTGTTTCTGGATACTTATCTACCTTGTGGTTTGTGCTGGCATCAATGCCTTCTTCCTCCCTTGCGTTGGGTGTGAAGTAGGAAGCCCCTCGTGTATGGTTACCTTTCCTATCTCTTCCCTTGCTTGATCAAGTGTGCCTTTCCATCTTTAAATTTTATTTCTATATTTGTGTCTCGTGTCAGCTTTGTGATGGCTAGCACGTTGTGGGAATCTCTGGTACGTACAGTACTCCTTTTAAGTCCCCTACCTGTGTGATGTGTACGTTTCCTTTCCCCACTACTTTGACCTTGCTTTGGTTTGCCACCTTATTTCTGAGTCTATTTCTGTGAGTGAGTCTAGCAGTTCTGGGTTACAAGTAGTGTGGCTTGTGGCCCCTGAGTCCAGGAGCCATGTGTTTCTCTCTGCCTTATGTTTGTCATTTGGGTCATCGTGCCTGATCCCATACATGGAGCCAGAGTTACTGTCCCTGGAGTGGTCTCTGCGCTCGTGGTGTTTCCTGGGGTTGGGTGACCACCCTCGTCCTCTTTCCTTTGGGTGCCTGCGTTCAGGTGACCTTCCCCCTCTACTGTTGTGCTGTCCCCTATCCCTATGGTTCCTGGGGCAATCCTTCTTTAAGTGGTTCCTTGATCCACAAGAATAACATTCTGAGGTATCCCTGGCCCTATCCTGGAAATCCACCCTCTTTGTGGGTCTAGGGTCCCCTTTGGCTAGTTGGCGTTCCCTCCTCAGAGTGTCCTCTGCAACGAGCTGACTGGTCAGTGCGCCTAGTGTGAGGTATTGCAAGTTGAGGCTATTTAGTTGGGTCATGAAGCTGTCCCAGCTGCTATCAAGAGAGTTTATGATTATGCTTATCATGCTCTCTTCAGTGATGATTTCGCCCCTCTGCATGAGTTCTGCCCTTGCAGCATTCATTTTTAAGATGTGCTCACTCATGGGGACCCCTGCCTTATGCTTGGTGGAGTGGAACTCCCTAGATAGTCTAGTGGTAGTGGCTCTGCTTTGGCTATAAAACAGGTTACATAGTTTTTGCATAATATCATAAACAGTTAGATTGTCCTCAATAGATGGATACATAGCAGATGGAATGGAGGTTAACATGATACAAAATGCCCTGTGATGAATGCAGTCAATTTCCAGTGACCAGGGCTTTTGGGGAGGTCTGTTAGCTAGGAACAGTGCATTCTCTCTCATGAGAGCAACTCTTAATTGTTGGCTCCATTCTATAATATTACCCCCATCTAACTGCAATTTTGGCAAATTGGTATAATTTGCCCCAGAAATATTAGTAAGGTTACTTACTGGGGGGAGCTGTCCATGGTCCAAAATGTGATTAAACTCACAATAAGGCTTTGGGATGTCTGTGGCCATTCTGTACTTGCTTGGATCTATGTAACTTGCTTCTCTTGTTACAGGCAGGTACTGGGCATGCACGAAGCTCATTCCGCGTTGGAGTCCATCGGGTGAGGTTCCTGTTGCTGGAGCTCCCAGGCCTAGGCCTAGGCCTGTCGGTGGGAGGCTGGACCCACCCCGGTGGGTCCGAAGATTCCTCCTGAAGGTGGACACCACTGCTGGATGGCCGGATCCCCGGCGAAGAAGGGCAGAAGGTGAGGGGCGACGCGGTCGCAAGTCGAGGACTTTCGCGGGTCGGCGGCGCAGCAGCAGCGGAGGTCGTAGGTTGAGGATTCCCTGCACCCAGCGGCTCGGCGGTAATGGCGGCGGCAGCAGATCCTCCCTCGGGTCGCTGGTCCCTGGTCGCATGGACTGGCCTGATGGATGTCGTGGCGTGGGTGAGTAGCCGGTTCTTCTCTTCTCCCTCGGGCCTCGGGTTGTCGGTGTAGCGGGTGGTGAGTTCGAGTTCTGCGGTTGATTCTTCCTGCAGGTGGGCGGTCTTTTGTGCCGGTTGTTGGTGTGTGCGGTGTTTTTAGTTGGCTGTGACTCGGTTGCCTGGTCTTTGTTGGTTGTCCTGGCCTTCTTGTGCTTTCCAGGATTTTTCTTTGGTTTATTGAGTGCCGCAGGAGGCTCGAAAGTGGAGCCTAGGGCAGCGGTGATGGTCTCGATTGCCTTTTGCAATTCGAGATCGGTAGGCGTTTTTCTTTTTATTATTGTGGTCTCTTCGTGGTCGCTTTCAGAGCTGGCTCTTCGTAGTCGCTTTCTGAGTCCCCCTCGTCTGTTTCGGGGTTCGGGCATTTTCGCGCCAAGGGATTCAAATCCTGGCTTCCCATTGGCTGGTGCTCGTCCCAAGATGGCCGCCGGGAAGGGGGCGCGGAAATGGGTTCTGCCGGCTCAGGATCATCGGGTTGGGGTGGCTTACCCTTTTTTGCTGGTTTTTCTTTCTCGGTGGTCTTTGGGGCCTCAATCGCTGCTTCTTGTTGCTCGAAGAGGCTTTGAAGGTCCGCAATGAGGTTTTCTTTGTCGCTGCTTGCCTCCATCAGTTTCAGGATGGAGAGTTTGAATTTATTCATTTTCTGTGCTGTTTCTTCTTCCGGGGCGGTGATTTCCTTGGATGGCCCCTCTTCATCTGATTGTGAGTCCAGGCTGGAGTCCTGCTCGCTTCCAGCTTCTGTCTCCTCCATGGCTGTGGCTTTGGTTGAAAGCTTCTCAGCCATCTTCTTGGTAAGAGCTCTGGTCTGTGCTCTGTTTGCTTCTTCAGAGTAGGTGTTGGGTTCAGTCATTGTCTGGAGTTATGGGCAACCGACCTCTGCTACCATTTTGTTATAAGCTGGATCTAGCCCAATAACTCAGAGACAGACTCCAATTCTTTTCTGTAGCTTTATTATTGATCTGTTGGTACTGGAGGTCACTGACCTTGTACCTTTCTCTTTCAGGTATACATCTGGAATCATCTGTGGACCATGTGGTTGGACCTTTTGTACCCAGGAGGAGGGGCTAAGAGGTAAGGAGTGGTTATAAGGATTATGGGATATGTGGTTAGTTAACCCTTGAAGGTCCGGGTGATCAGGGAGATATAGTAGTTAGGCATTTATCATGACAAAAAAGAATACAGGTAGTCCTTGACGTATGACCAGAACTGAGCCCAAAATTTCTGTTGCTAAATGAGACATTTGTTAAGTGAGTTTTGCTCCATTTTAGGACCTTTTTTGCCACAGTTATTAAGTGAATCACTGCAGATGTTAAGCTAGCAACACGGTTCTTAAGTAAATCTGGCTTCCCTATTGACTTTGCTTGTCAGAAGGTCACAAAAGCGCATCACATGATCTGCAAATATGAGTCAGTTGCCAAAGATCTGAATTTTGATCACATGACCACGGAGATGCTGCAATGGTTGTGTGAAAAATGGTCACAAGTCACTTTTTTCAGTTCTATTGTAACTTCAAATGGTCACTGAACAAACTTGTAAGTTGAGGACTACCCTGTACTGTTTTTTTTAAAAATGTCGATAGTCTTAATTAATTTGGGAAACAATGAGATTACATAATGGATGAATTATCCAACTAATCATGATCTCTTTTTCATAAACTTGTGATCTAGATACAAGGATCAGTGTAATCAGTGGTATATGTACTGTGCCCTGGCTTGTGATGAGCAATTTTGTTAATTGGTGTCTTTTCTCTTTCTTTTCTCAGGCCTTCTCTGAGGCAACTCCAATAAAAGGTTGTTGTGATTGTTCTGGTTGTGATTGTTAATCCTCTATGGCAGGGCTGTCAAACTTGCGGCCCACGGGCCTGATACGTCACACGCTGGCCACACCCATGCCTGGTTTTAGCAAAGGGAAAAAAGTCACGATACATGACATGATTATGCCATGACGATAGCAAATTTGACACCCCTGCTCTATGGTACACTGAACCTTTGGAGAACAATCATTTGCATGAGTCCATCTAATCTGAGGCAACTCCAATAAAAGGTTGTTGTGATTGTTCTGGTTGTGATTGTTAATCCTCTATGGCAGGGCTGTCAAACTTGCGGCCCACGGGCCTGATACGTCACACGCTGGCCACACCCATGCCTGGTTTAGCAAAGGGGAAAAAGTCACGATACATGACATGATTATGCCATGACGATAGCAAATTTGAAACCCCTGCTCTATGGTACACTGAACCTTTGGAGAACAATCATTTGCATGAGTCCATCTAATTTATCCCAAGTAAGTGAAAATCTATTCTGAAATATCATCTTCCATCTTGGAATTTAGACTGGCAATTCCAGTGTACACTCTTACTATTTAGTATCTAGCCTAAAATGGATGGTATTTCTTCTAGAATTAAGATACTAGAAGTTACTGTTTCCCCTCACCCTCAGCAATGCCAGATATACCATTTTCTGATATATTTGATTTGAAATAATTGCTTGCACAATGTTGATATGAATAAATGTATATATGGCTCAAATAAATGTCTCGGGATTATTAAATATGTTCAGAGAAACACTTTTTGAAAGTCCTAGACATTTATCTTCTGAAGATTTTGGCTAGCCAGAAGGCGTGGAATTCAATGACACACCCAAAGGTAGAAGTATCTCCCACTAATGTTATATGAGGTATACTGTACAATAGTTCTACAGCACCCAGACTAAACATGGATATTAGGCTGGTTATCTGCACTTATACAGAAACACACAAGACAGTTGGCTTTTTGCAAAAGCCTGTGGCTTTTGTTAATAAACTTCATGAGATGAAAGACTAAAGCTATCTCTCTTAGCGAGCTTTGTACCAGGTAATTAAAAATCCATCACTCTGAGTTAATTGCATAGAGATAGAAGCTTTGCAATGTATATTTTGCAAAAAAAATAATAATCATGTGAATCATGTTTCCTTTTGTTGTTCATGCCACAAGTTTCCGAATGGAAGGATAAGTGCTGTTTCATATACTTCTCCTTGTGGGAATGAAAATTGCTTGACAAGGTTAACCAAAATACCTTCCCAGATAGGCCAGATAAATCCAAATGCAAGATCAAAGTTAAAATTCAAAACTCTTAACATTTCTTCTAATATTTCCTCTGTAATTAAATTGTTTTAAATCTGCAGTGACCTACATGAATGGCCAAATATGAGCAACAGCAAGACAAAAACAGTTGTGATATTTGTTTTGCTCATAATTTTGCCGTTTTTTAAAATTTTCTGCTCCTTCCAGTAGAAGTGATTGGTACTGAAGAGATGATTAGAATAACATTACAGTATAAAATTTCCCAGATAGATAGATAGATGGATGGATGGATGGACGGATGGACGGATGGACAAATGGATATAGCAATAGCATAGGACTCTATGGGTGGTTTACAATGTAGAAGCATTATTTGCATACTGTCCTCAACAATCTGGGTCCTCATTTTATCAACCTCAGGGTTGAGTCAACCTTGAGCCCTGTCATGATCAAACTCCAGGGTGTGGATAGAGTTGCCTGCAATACTGCACTTTAATCATTGTGCCACCAGGGATGGATGGATGGATGGAAGGAGGGGGAAGGGAGGGAGGAAAAGAGGCAGGCAATTAGGTAGACAGACAGACAGACAAGGTTTCATTATAGAGAAGAGGCAGATTGCAGAGTAGTCTTCTCAGACCTGAACTGACACTTTGTTCTTACTAGGATGCCATCACAAAATACTGAAGATGGGAGTCTCTTTTTGTATCTCCATCAAGAGACCATTAGTTTGACCATTAAGTAAAAAAGAAATGACATCTTTTCATGTATGAGAGAGATAGATATTGCTAGTTCAAATTAGAGTAGTCAATTACATATTGTGTAAAAAAAAGAGTGGCAGTTCAGTTTAATGGTTAGTGTGTTTAACTTGGAATGGAGAGATACAGAGTCAAATATCCATTGACTATGAAGATTTCTGGGTTATCTCAGTCCATGTCATTATTTTCCCATCCAGCTGCTTTTTGTTCTTCATGTCTGGTTTACCAGAGAAAGTTCAAGAAGCATTTCTTTCTAAAAATAGCTGAGGCAGGTTCCAACCTGCCTGTGTCTGGCCTAGAGACAGAAGACCTTAGAATGACTCAAAGTCCACGAGAGCAGAGTTGTTTCTGTCTAATGCATGTGTTGATTCAGTTTCCCGTGGATGAACTTAAGTGTTATCATTTTACCAACATAAAATCTGCTACCCCTCTTGACAATCCTTATCCTTCCATGGAGACAATGTTGGCAAATGGGGGTTGTCCTTATTTATAGTGTGTAGGACACATTAAGGAGAGTGTATGATGGATTCCACAGCTTTGTGTTTCTACTACCAGCACCACCACCAAACATCACCAACCAGTGTGCAAACATCATCTCTTCAATGTGAGATGGGGCTTCAGCTGAAGAAGACACAGCCACCGTAAATCTATCCAATCATCAACTGATGCCATGCAAAAACATTTGAACTAAATGAGAGCACCAGGTTTGTTTTGTTCATGGGTTTAATACCATCCCAGGATAATGTTCCATTTATATTCAAAGGCAACCTGAATAGATTACAAGAATGGAGAGAATAATATCTCTTCTGCTGTTTCAGTTGCTGATCAAACTGCTCCTGATTTCTGAGCCAGGGATCACCTTGAAGACCTGGAGTTTACAAGTGAAGAGGTTGGCTGTAAAAGAATTGGACCAAAGCAGAATGGACCTCGAATATAATGCTCAGGTTCAGCCTAAAATGGCCCAAAGTCTCCAGCTGATCCCACTCCCTAGGAATCACCTAGCTGGACTATTGACAGAATGGCTGGGTAAACACAGTAGATTATATCAACAGTAAAGCTTATGTTGAATAAAGGAGAAAATGCTATTTTAAACCAGTACAGGCAACGATGACTTGGGGCTGTCTGATGCAGGGACCGGATGAAGACAACATCAAGAAAACAAAGCAAGAAAAACAGGTCGTTATAGGGCATGTTTGTGCTACAGTTAGATACAAGTGAGGAAAGACTCTCCAAGAGGAATAAAAAATGGACTTCCTGAAATTAATTTGGCCAAGTTTGAAGGGAGGAAGGGCCGAATAAACTATTTATAAATTCATCTCAAGGACTCAAGGATTCCCAGTTGGAATCCATGGTCATAATTCTTATTCTTGACATTCACATTATCTTGTTTCCTTGGCACCTGGAAATTCAGACTGTAGTACAGTTTGTGTTCTTAATTTATGGCTTAGTTCTGGTTTTACTTGGGACTTTCCTGAAGTCTCCCAGCTTTGATCTTTTAGTCCTGTGTGCTATTTCTGTTTCCTGGCTATGAAACGCAAGAAAAGACATTCAGCCTCAGGCAACAGTCTCCAAATTTAACCTGCCTTTATGAAGTTATTGTAAAGGTTAAATAGGGAAAAAGATGCCCCATATTAATTGTGATAGTTGGGGATTAAGGGAGTTGGAATATTTGGATAGCACCAAGACAGAAAAGGCTACCTTATATGCTTTACAACAAGTAAGCTTAATATTCATTGTGAGATTGTAATTAAAATGAGCAGTTTTTAACAATTAAATGACAGTTGTGAAAACCAATGATTAGGTCTACAGGTAGGCCTCAATTTGTGACCTATTATTTAGTGATTGTTTAAAATTACAATGGCATAGAACGGGTGCTTTATAGCCCATAAAGCAGTAGTGGGTTGCAAAACCCGTCACTACCAGTTCGCTCATGGGTGTGCTCTCTCTCTTTCATGCAATGCTTCTGCGCATGCGCAGAAGTGTCCGGCACAGGTGGATGGAGCTTTCCACCGCCGCTGCTACTGGTTCGCAGATCCAGGTAGAACCGGTAGCAACCCACCACTGCCATAAAGCCCTGGCCATTGTAAATTGCCATGCTCCATTTCCCTGAAGTCATATGACTGCATGTCATGCAGATCAGTTTTATGCTCTGTTGTGGTGTTCCATGATCATGTGACTGTGATTTGGGATGTTTTTTTCTGGTTTTTGGTAAAAAAAAATGTACATTCAGATGAATGAATTTACTTAACATTAACACCATTTGCTTAACAACTGCTGTGAAAAAAACTGGAAAATTACTACTGGCCACATGGTACCTCAACTTATAACCATAATGACTTATGACTGGATTTTTGGTCCCAGTTATGGTTGTAAATCGAGGACTCCCTGTAGAATTGTTGTACTAGGACTGGTGGTAATAAAAACATATTTCAAGTTCTTCTTGTCTGGAAAAAAGCTTCCCTTGGAACTAATGAAATCTGAATCAAGGAAATACAAATTGCCGCTTTAAAATCTAGAACTAACTGGAAGATGGCATCTACAGGGGAAGAAAATTCTTTTTTCCATGTCTATAATGGTCATAATTTAGTCATCCTGTTATTGGAATTTTGAAACCAGACACATTAGTTGTGCTTACATAACAAATAGCATATCTAGGTTACCCACTCTGATAATGAAGATGATTACAATGTTATTTCATAAGGCTTTATATTCTACAGATTATGAAAATCTCTTGGCAATTCATAATAAAAAGATAAACCAAAATTTAATCTGTTAAAAAGAAATGGTATAATCAACAATTAAAATCCTACCCTCAGAGATGTCCTTTAAAGTTTTAAAAATGAACAAAGTCCCTAAATTTAGCATGGATTGTATTCTGAAGAATAATCTTAACATATTTAAGAATTTCAACAAAATTCAGGCCCACTAGTGCACTTACGTATTATTTCCCCACTCAACAGAGCCCTCATTTCTCCCCCTGGGTTTTGGCCACTAAAATGACATTTTAAAAAGCATGGTGATTCACACTGGT